GCACAGAGAGAGAGAGAGGGGCCAAATATTTTCATTAATGTCGTGATTAGTCATGCGTTTTATGACGCCAATGTTTTGGCTGCCTCGGTCGAGTTTTTCTCGGAACGCCGGAGCAGTACGAGCCAAGTTTCGGTATCTACGTACTGTAGAGAAAAACAGTATTTTACAATAAATTAACATAGCTTGATAATTTATTTCAAAATAGAATGCTCAAACATATATGATTTTGCGTGCTTCCTCCTCTTTTTTTTCCTGATTTCGAATTCGAGGATTTCGGGATGTATTTGTACGTGACAGTCTTGAAAAACCGGGAGATTAATGGTTTCTACGTTGGCTTGTTTCCATGCAAACGGCAAAATATTATTAAAAATATTTCATTGGAACGTCTTGGAGCATCGTTACGATTTAATGGTCCCAATCGATTCAAGTACAACTTGTAACGTGGCAAGATAAATCGTAAACTAAAAAAAAGGCAAGGAAAACTATAAATTTTAGCCAATAAGCTATAATTTGGAAAGAAAAAACTCGTGGGCAAACAAAAAATGGTCCCTCATTAATCGCATTTACGACAGAAATAGAAGACCAAAAGCCAATCGTACAATTTGCTGATCCTTGGACCCGCCTGGGATCGCATGAGATCCTAAAGTGTAAATTTTTTAAAGATATCTCAGCAGTTAAAAAACATATAAAAAAGATTTTTTAATTCAAATTTTGAGAGAGGTTAAAAAATTTCCAAGTCAAGATCTCCAGTTCTTAAAAAATATTTTATGTGTATTCGCTATGTGCCCATCTTTTGTATGCGTATCTCTAGATTTTCATCTTAAAAAAACATTATCATACGGTTTCACAAAAATTTTGTTCTTTGTAAGTAACTTAAATTATATTAAATTAAAAACTAACTCGAAAACTCTAGCAAGAAATGTAAATCAAAGTTTTCAATGGCTGAGATGCTTAAAAAAAAAGTTCACGTTTTTCTCAGAAAACCTCAAACGGGTCTGAGGATTCTAAAATTTTAGGAGAGGCTATTTTGGTCACCACTCGACACACAATTAAAGTACATTAAAAAAAAAATAAATAAATAAAAAAAATAAAAAACGAGAAACGCACTGTAACTTGCTTCAAAATCGTGATGTATTTTCATGACCACTAAAGTATCAGTTGAACTGTATAATTATTCTATCTCCGTCCAAGACAAAAGCACTTGCTTCCGTACCAAAAAGTCAAATAGGTGCGCGAATCTGTACAGTGCCTTTTGAGGTGAGCTGTTTTATTACTGCATTGTTCGTTGGTCATAAAGTTGATAAAACAAATACTTAAATTAACGTATGCTTATTTCACAGTGTTGCTCGATGCATATGAAAAAACACATACACAAACGTGGAACAGTTAACACGCCACACTTGACTCTCCATTGCGCCTATTCCTATGCTCGGGTGTATAAATATATACTAAAACGGTGCAATCACGTGAAGATTAAAACATTCATAGTGCGCTTCATAGCCTATATGGAAAAAATTCACCGCAACCGCAATATGCACGTGACCAATATTTAAAAAAATTGTTCCCACTACAAGTTTTTCTCGCCGAGGAAATAATAGATTTTAAAGTTCCATCAAACGTGACAACAAACACAATTGTGGAACAGTTTGGTATATCAAAAAATTATTTTCGCTCAATACGCTTTATTTTTGTAACTTTTTAATTGATAAAAAAATAACTTTTGTAAAGCATACTTAGAATGAAGAAGATAAATCAGAGGTAGCTTCTCAATTAAGTTATATGTAAAACAAATAATTTACATTATTACAATAAACAAACAACCACGAATTTTCATTAAATCACTAGAAAATCGTGTGATTTCAACCAAGTGGTGATAACGATTCCAGGTAAACAACAATTTTCCATGATCGGAAAGAAAAAGGTATTTCACTATCGGCAGAAAAACCTGTATATTCTTACTCCGAAAGTCATCACGTGCCGATAAAAATACAGTCGACAGCGTATAGAGACATTTTCGAGACAGAAGCCTATGCTCGCCTGCCAGGAGAGGAAACTCTATTGCAGCTGGCTGTTGTTTCGTGTTGTTGGCCAGTTGTTTACCGATCGTATAAACGTAGCGCTTAGCGTTGGGTGGTGTGCAAAGTTGAGTTTCGCCGAGTTGGTCATTGTTTTCCGCTACGCACGCGCAAAGTTGATTAATTTCGAGCTGCGCGCGATTGTTGGTAACGCACCGAATAGTTGACGCACTTTGTCAAAATGTTTCGTCGCCGAGAAATGAAGTTGTAATTGCTTGGTTAACAGTTTAACTCGCGAGAAGTATTTGGATGTACTATCGCTCGATCGGGAGAGTTGAAATTTCGGAGGAGTTTAATCTCGATGCGCGACGCTAATAGGTGTGCAATGGGTATATATAGGTGGGCGGGGGGGACGGTTTCCGCGAGATTCATTTGCACGAGGGAAGGGTCTTTTGGGCAGCAGCCAACTTCTTCGCTGAGCAAGTATTTACAGTGCACTTGGCGATGAATTTATTGTCTTATCAGCTCGTGAAAATCTTAAATTTGAGTAACCCTTGTTTTCCTTACTGTGCGCGCAGTTTCAACCGGTGCCTGCATCTCACGACAAGGCTAGTTATAAACTTGTTTGTATTTACGTCGATGTCTTTAGATCAGTGACTCGATAATTAAAACGAAAATATGAATATTTATTAAAAGATGTCTTGTTTTTACAATAATTATATTAGTAAAATGTGAGGTGATTTTGAGAAGCACGAATGCAAGAATACTAGTTTCATTAGGGCTTAATTTATCCATCATATTTCATTGCATTCGTGTTTTCATTATTTTCTTAAAATCTCAGTTATCTTATTTCTTAAAATAAAGACTTATTTAATTTAAGGTGATGAGGTAGTATAGGTTTGGTTTTAATCTAGAGTCTATGTCCTCGAGTTTCAATAAATTCAGTTAAACAACAATAATGTTAGTGAAATAACATGTAGGTATTCAGATTAAGCAATATTATCACCAGTAAAATTTGTTGAAACTGCAACTTAAAAAAAAAAAAAAAAAAAAAAAAAAAAAAATATCGCACATTCTTGATGTTCCAACCATCAATTAGAATTTTTTTTTAAAGTGATAAAAAATTGAGCAAGAAAAAAATTAAATTTTCTCTCGTTACTTATTTAATTGGAATCTAATTGTTCGTTTGAACGTTCAGTTTTTATTTAACGTTGTTAAAAATTTAAACATTCCTTGAAATGTAGCCAAAGTGTGCCAATTTTTTATTTCATTCGGAGAACAATTACGGAGTCGATTAATCAACATAAATTGAGTTGATCGTTTAGTCAGTATTGGAGAGAAAAGTAGGATTATATCCATATTGCCTTATTCATTAAGTTACTTTACCACCTTATTTGCAATAATTAATCGAGTCTGGATATTCCAACGTGAAAAAGTCCGATACATATTTTTACTTAAACATTATTTACGTGCGTTCGTGTGCGCATATCACACCCACGCACAGATGTGTGTTTATCTGATTTATGTTGGTTGATTTACACTTGGCGACTTGAGAAACTAAGAGCCAATGAAAAAAAGGACAAAACAGTTTTAATCTTCTTCCCAAAAATTCTTTAATCTAGTTTTATCAAGATCAGTTTAAAATTGAATGAGGAAAATGAAAAATCGTACATCCAGTAACGTGATTTGAGTTTGGGTCTAATTCTTCATTTTTCTCGTTTAATTTATTGTGTATTTTTGTCAAAATTTAGCTTCAATTTATTCTTGGAGCGTCTCGAACATACAACTCTTTTTTTAATGTTTATAAATTTTGGAGAAGGAAAAAATTTTACTTCTGGATAATTACATAACTAAATCCAAAAATCAACATTCAATTAACTTAAATATGCATGGTTTTTTTTTTTAATATAAAGTGATTATTTTATGTTTTTAACTCAGACCCTAATTTACGTAACATCTGATTTTTTGCTGTTTTTCTTTTCAATTTTTAATTCAACTCTACAAAAATAATTGTAAATTAATTTTTAAAAGATCAAAGATGTGTCATGCTCCGTTATTTACTATGAATCGCGCTAAACTAAATGTCAAATGTGAATTACACAATTCAGCCAATATCTAGAGTAATTATATTTTGACTGTTCTTTGATAGACATCCCAGTAAACAAATTTTTTTTTAGATTTCTTTTAGATATATAGTAGATTTCTAATGTCTATCTGAAAGACATCTTTGGGGAGTTTCGGAGGTAAAATTTCCCAAAAATGTCTTTCACATGGGCATTAGAAGTCTACAATCTACAAGACATCAAAAAGAAATATAAAAAAAATAAATCTACTATAGGGTGCTACTTACTAAAAAAAACAGTAATTTTATAAGTAAAGTCTACTTTTGTTTAGTGACATTATTGTTAATTAAGTAATTTTATTAACCCCTAAATTTAATGTATGCACATTATATTAAGACAGAATGTATTTTATAGTAACTCATGTTACAGTTTTGAGTAAATATTTTGGAGGTAACTTGAAAAGTTGCTGATTGATATTCTTACTTTCGGGTGACAAGCTATTAAATCTATTATTGTAATATTTACCTAACGTATGTTTAAGATTACTCTATTTCCTTTGTATTAAGGTCATGTAAATTAATTTACGTAACAATTTATGCCGATGAACAAAAAAATGAAAAACAGACAAATTATTCAACTCACAAACGAGCGCTACGTGTATATCCTCGCAATAACTGGCCAATCGACTCGAACAAACTGCCTTCACATCAAACACAAATGTGCAGCACACCGCGTCGCAGCCGGGATTGTGCACACCCTCGACATTCAATAAAAAAAAATTCATAAAACAACGTAATTAAGAGAGAAAAAACAATAAAACCGAGTCCGAGAAAACTTGGTTAAAATGGTAAAAAAAAAAAAAAAAAAAGTTGGCGATAAACAATAACGTGAGTATAGTCAAAATCATGTAGAGATTACTCACGCTGGGCGTAGTGACGGACTGGTTGAGCTGTTGCGCGGGCGTTTGGTCTTGATAATAATGGTCCGCCTGGTTGCTGGATATGTTCTGGGCGAAGTCGAGTAGCCGCCTGCTCGGGCTGTCTGGGGTGTTGGACAGATCGTTTTGCAGATTAGGGAAGCACGAGGACGAGTTGCTGCGCTTGTGCTTCGCCGTGGGCCCGTACTGGTGGTCGTAGTTCTTGTAGCAGCCGGCTCCCGTTTGGGCTGGGCCCCGCTCGCACGCCGACTCGCCCTCGGTGCTGTTCCCGTCGACGCCCGACATGTTGTGACCTGCGGACGAGAAGAGCAAACAAACCGGCGCGGCCACCGTCAGTCAACCAACTGGGCTCGGGGTTGTTTTTTTTGGGTTCGTGTGTGCTCGTTCGGGGGTCATGGGGGGGCGAGGGGGGTCGGATATATTTTGGATTCGTGTACTATGAGGCGATGATAAAAGTGTGTGTGTAGGTTTGGCGGTGTTTTTTTTTTTTTTTTTTTTTTTTTTTTTTGTACACTCAATAAATTTTAGGTTGCGTTTTTGGGGTTGCAAACTGTTTGAAAAAAACGCTCAAAAACCACCACAAAAACCGAACGCTTTGCTCGTGAGCGGTTTTTTCGGAATCGGCTTGCAACCCCGGTTTTCTTGCTCGTCGTTCGTTCGTCAGTTTCATAAATAGGTTGTTCAAGCATGCCTCTTGCGGGAAACTAACGAGGAAACTCTAGAAAAAAAAACGCAACCCTCATTCGTAATATAAGAAAGATCTAAATGTGTAGGTTATTTTTTTTCGAAAAAGAATCATAAGCAAGCTGCTAATGAAATGATAACCAATAGTAGAGCAAAAAAATTAGTAGCCCAAGTCAGCTGAGCTTTTAAGGGCGAGTGTGTGCGTGGCGGGTGGAAACAAGAGAGGCGGATGGATTGTTTGGTGTGTTTGAGGTGTGTGTGGACACCGCATGAGAGAAGATTTCAATGATGAGGGGTTGGTAATGGCGTATAGCAGCGGTAAGCGATCATTCAAGATATGGAGCTGTGGACACTGGCTTATACGCACGGGTGTGTACTGGCTTTGGATCAAACACAAAATGATAAAATAGAAGAATGAGAAGCCGGCAGTAGCTGCTGCGGGCTATTGTGTGTACACATAGACTTGTTTCAGCAATGTAATCACGCCTCGACGCTCGAGGACGGTGTTTTTATAGTTTAAGCAGAGACTAAGCTCTAGGCGATGCGCATTGGTGAGTAGCTGCTTTGTCTTATCTCAATTTATGCATCATTTTTTGTACGTTCGAACTCTCAAAAGCCACGTCTGGCCGAAAGATGGAGAAAATTGTTTGGTACACCATACGGTTTTGACGTCACTGATGGCGGTGGTGTCATAGTTCAGTATAAGAACTTTTGTCTGTGTTTTTTCGCGCTTGTAAATTTATTTTTATACCGTGTCAAAGTTAATTAGTAATATTATGATCGAGCTTAAAAATACTTCGTATGATTTTTTAACCATCTGTCGTTGATCCAGCAAATAATCTTACATGATCGGATAGAATTTCTATTAAGATAAGCTCAGATTATTACTGTTGATTTTAATATTTTTTGCAAGAGTATCAATGACTAGGTAAAAAAAAAAATTATTCAAGTTGGATTTGAAGAGATGACTGATTCGGAGAATAGTTTTTTTTAACGTTTAATCCATCAATTTGAATCTGGATAAGTAAAAAAAAAAATTATTCAAGTTGGATTTGAAGAGATGACTGATTCGGAGAATAGTTTTTTTTAACGTTTAATCCATCAATTTGAATCTGGATAAGCTGGATTTTAATATTTTTTGCAAGAGTATCAATGGCTAGGTAAAAAAAAAAAATTATTCTAATTGGCTTTGAAGAGATAGCTGATTCGGAAAATAGCTTTTCTTCATCAATTTAAATCTGGATAAGCAGCTGTTTCAACTTAAATCTGGATGAAATATACGTTTACAAACCTTATCTAAATTAGCTACTTTTTTGTACCAAGCCATCAGTTTATTAAAAGGATGAAATTTGTTGAAAAAGTTCGGTAAATATTCTTCCTTGGTTGTGAGAGCTTCATCAAATCAGTGATTCAACTAGCGTTGATTCAGCTGCGTATTTTTATAAGAACTCAGTTTACCAAACAACTTTTGCCCCATCAGCACTATTTCCAAAAATTGGATCGGCCAGAAGTCAAATGACTAAAATAAAAACTACTTTCGAGCCAAAAAAATAACTGTTTGAAATTATTATTATTAGAAAAAGGCCTGCCTAGCAGAAATCAAAGTACATAATCCCATAATCCCACAGAAGCGTGCGTAAGCATCGTAGGACGATAACGTCTCTTCCGATTGGCACATTGGGTAATATACATAGCACATCGCTGCGGATTGCTCTAAGGAAATCACATAAGCGCGACAAATATTATTTTGATTGGCTCACACTTTTCTGTACGACTAAGTACGTCTACGTTTGGTTATGGGCAATACCTACATCAGCAGAAGCTCAGAGTAAGCTCGCACTTGGCAAATGTACTTACGCTGCAGCCAGCAAAAATTAAAAAATTAATTTGCGTGTCGTTCGTTTCGATCAGATTAATGAATCTAAAAAGGAGAACAGAAAACCCTTTGTCTATACAGTTTCCGAGCTTTCAAGAGCGTCACATCGACACGAGATGTTTTTTAGGATGAAAAAAAAAAAAAAAAAAAAAATCGGAAAGCTGCGTTCGACGATGCAGTTACGTGAAAAAAAGCTCGAGAGACGGCTCATTGTTGGCTGGCGAAAAAAGCCTGACCTACTTCCCAACCACGACCGGCGGGCGTTGTATAATCTTTTTTTCTATTCATACGCCGACAATGCGAGCCCGCCGATTATTGAGAAACGGCTTTTGAGCGCTTTTTTCACCCGATCGGGACCGGAGAAAAGACGATACAAGTGTTTTCGTTCAAACTTTGAAAAACGAACAGATGTACCATCCCGCGAAGACACAAAAGCCATTTTAGCTCATCACCTGTGGTATACACGCACCGCGCTCGAAAAAGAATATGACAGCCAAACCAGAGGCCGATTATATATGAAACACGTACACTGGTATCAGCACCGATGCGTCTAAAAATCATCATCTTCGAAAACGTGCTCGTAAACCCAGAAACCTAGAATTCGCGTATAAGTACGACATATGCCCATGGACGTCGAAAGATGCGTATCACGTGTAACGAAGAAAAGCGAGAATTTCGGCTCCGAGATATTGAGCCCAACGCCGATGCATTGACTAAAATATCTTTAAATACATATTGAAGCTATACATCACGTTCACGCATACCCGTGACGTTGTGTTGTTAAGTACGTCAAAGCCAGCAAAGAAGCTTTTTCATCCTTTTCTAATGTTCTAATGGCGAGCAAAACTCTAATAAATTGCTTTCATTGAATAGTCAAAGGCTGAGCTGAGCATATTTCTGTACAAAAGTCAAGGAAGCGGCGGAGCTTTATTGTACATGGCATTTTACAGATAGAAAAGATAAAATAAAAACAAAAGGATATACATATATATACGTGGGTTTAATTAAATAAACAGAAAATTATGATTATTTTTTTTTTTCTATTATTACCACTCCAAGTGAATGTACGTACATAAGTGCAAAAGCTCTGCACTCCGCTGGTGTAAAGAGACACTTTAGATACGCGTCAAGCCTTTCAAGAGCTTAATTGATTTATTGTTAAAAGGCTTCCGAGCTCTTTCAGCGAAAATAAACGTGATAAAAGTACGTGAATTATTAATTTTTTTTCTTGTGTCAAACGATGATGTTACGATTCCCTTTTTTATTTGACGGTGAATTTTTAATTTACGAATGTCCATTTGTGTACATGAAACTACGGTGAGTTAAAAAACTTTTGTCGTTAAAATAATATCTTTACTCTTTGAAAATAAATTGATAAATGATTAATTTATGATTAATACCAAGTAAATCACAGATAAACTTTCAATTTATCATTAAAAATAATTAATTTGCTTACATGATTTTTAACTTGTAATTAAACAAAAATTCAACTACCCATTATATTTGTAATCACAAAAAAATCTACCTATTTATTGAAAAATTTCCTACTGCAAATGAAACAAAAAAGTATAATTTTGTATTAATATATATTTTGTTCGAACACAAACATTTTTGCACATGTATAATCGAAGCTAAAAGCTTAAATATTTTACTAACTGAGAAAAATAGAAAATTTTGGTATAAGTAAGTCAATATTATTTTCAATAAAATTAAATTTTTTCTTAAAACTNTTCTTTTTTTTTTTTTTTAATAATTTTAATTAAAAAAAAAAAATTTTTGAAAAACCACATATTTTTAATGGTAACCTCGAGCATTGATAACAATAATTTCTTGAATTTTTCTAATCACTTAGCAACTAAAATTTTAGTATATTTTATTTTTCCTATAGCAAATGATTTGTTTGGTTACTTTTTTTCACGCTTTATTAAACATTGACAATCTTCACTGACGTAAATCCTATTTGGATGAAAAAGATATTTTTATAAAAACATTACGTGACATTTTTTACAAACTAAAAAATTTGAGTAGAACCATAATGCTCTTTTAAAATCATATTAAAAATTTTCTTTAATAAAAGAAAAACATAAATTTTTAAAAAATGCGTTGAGTTTCTAATATTTTCATGTCATTTTTAACGAAAAAGAGATTGTGTGAAAGCTATGAATATTTCATCATAACTTGTACCATCAAAATTAAACGTTTTTGCAAGCGACAAACAATTTATTGTTTAAGTCACAGATTTTCCTAGTTTTAATGATAAAGTAACACTTATAATAATACAGTAACAATTATTGTTCTAAAAAATATTTAAAAATATCAAATATGAATATCTTACCACCGCAAGTATAAATAAAATAGTCATGGGTAATTGAAAAATTTTTAATTACAAATTCACAGCGTAACTATTTTTTAGATACAAGAGTAATCAAAATTACCCCAATCCTGTGTTAAAAAGAAACGAAGTATCCATTTTGCTTTTTTATCTCTTCATGTTAAACACATATTAGAAAAGGAAACAAAGACCTAATTTTTAGAAATCTTAATGTAATTCACATTTTGACTTAATTAAAAATTTGATTTGTGTAAATAGCACGTACTTACACTTGGCAGAAAAAAATAGAAATACAGTGCATAAGTCAATAAAAGTAATAGAATTTTTAGTAGTAAGTATATGTAAAACCAGACTTGGGCACAATGATGTTGTAGATTACTATAACTTACAAATAAAATAGTTTTCTGAGAATCTACAGATTTTTTTATCGTGACTTTTAGTAAAGTAATCTACCAAATGATATTAAAATATTGTATGATATATTCTTAGAAAAAAAGTGTATTATAAAGTATTTAAACATACATTTAAATGTTTTCTTTTATTTTCTTTTTGATTTTTCATTTTTTTAGATATTGTGATCATTTTCCTTTAAATTACATTTTTCTTTCAAAGCGTAATAAATCATTTTTGCTATAAGTACTGTGTTTTTTAATATTAGTAAAAAAAGTTTTTAGTGTATACAATCTGTTTCATTTAAAATAAGAAATGCATTTCCAAGTATTTAAAAAAGTATCGGTGCTCAAGTCTGTATATAATAAAATATAAAAAGAAGTCAAACGAGGTTGTAGCCATTACAATAAAATATAGCCTATTGATACTCAAGTTTGAAAAAATATGATAAATAAGGCTGGAATGATAGCACGAGAATTTAAATTGAGCTGTGATTTGCTGCGTGCGCTGGCAACTGATGCTACGTAATAACTGCGGGTATCGATTTTTTTAATTACAAAAAACCAAAAGAATAATAATAACGACTACCCTTTGTATTCAGCAAAATTTTTCAACTGATTCACACTTATATTTACATACGTTGTTTTTGCACAAAGAAGGCCCTGTTTCTTTACTTTTTGGAATCTGTATAGTATTACGTTTTTCTGCGAACTACAATAAGCTCTGGTACTTATATACATGATTAACGAGAATAATTGAAATACGTAAAGTTGTGCAAATATAAACAAAATCAAATATACAAGTTATTTGAAACATATAATTAAAAGATCATTTACTTTATTTAATAAACACGATTAACTGCTTTGCGCTTGAGGAGCATGAAATATTATATTAAATAAATCATCCTTTACATTTTCAAGGTATTATTAAAATGCACATTCTAGAGCGGCGAAAATTGGTACATTTAAGTAAAATTCATAATTAAAAATATAAATAATCATTCTTTGTGCAGACTCATTCACGCATCGACAAGCACCCACTTAATGAAAAAAAAAAAGAAAAAAAAAGAAAATATATTATTGTTAGTTTTATTAAATGGCAAATACTAATAAGAATAATTTAGCCGTACAACAGCGATGCTCTTTCAAAGTCGTGTGTGCAGCATTAAAATTCGGCAGCAGCATTAACGGATGTTTACCTCGGTCGACAATCCCGTTCGCGATTCGAGCTGAAAGGAAAAATCTACTAATTTTCACGTTGATGAACACACAGCACCCAGTTGTCTGGTGCTTTTTCTATTTTTCATTAATTAAATAGGTTAGCTTTTATTTTTTTTTTTAAATCCTGGTAGTAGATATAAAGAGACCAGTTCACCCTAAATGATTTTTGTTTCAACATATCATGAGTGTGTTACAGTGTCATGGTTTTCAACAGCACTGTCGGCTGACTTTTATTTTCAAAGGGTAACACGATGGAAATGAAAAAAAAATACAAAAGATGCCGGTAATTGTGAAACAAAAATTGCAAATCATGGCTGTAGCCAGTATGTATACGTATACAATGGTAACAATACAGATATAGAAACATCAATGCAGTAGACAATGATGGATATATTATTGATGTATGAATGTATCGATATTTGTTTAATACAAAGGAAATTAAAAAGTATCACATACTTGACGTTGATAATCTTGTACACTACAAATACTTTTAATTCACCGATAAAAATTATGATTGATTAAACGATTTGGTAACAAAACAATTATGCGATACTTTTGAGTAACACTGAAACAACAACAACAACAGAAAACCAAAAGATAGTAATGAAAATAATAATGGTAGTATTACGCGAAGTAAGGAGCAACGCGACAATTAAAGCAAATGCACTGAATGTAGTACCATTTTTTAACGACAGACGTATAACAAACAAATGATACAGTCAACAATTCACAATTTGAAAATATGTATTACTGAATATACGGGTGTTTGTGTTTTAAATTCAAAATGTTTGTAAGTATCTGAACTGAGGTTGTTGTTAGAAGAAAGTTAAGATAGTATAAATTACTTCAAGAACACATTTACCTATTGAAATATGACAGAAACAGAAATTTCGTTAGTTTTTGAAAATAGGTTAGTAATTCTAAAATTTTATATTAAAAATAATTTTTTTTAAATCTCTAAGTTTTTCTAAGGGATTTCAACATTCCAAAAGAAATTCGTTATTGGAAAAACAATTAGTTTATAACAAAATACATTTATAATTAATGAATTACTATTGATGATTTGAATTTTTGGAGGCCAAGATTTAAGAATTATTAAAAAAAACTATTCGCTTTTATCATCTTACGAGAATTACAATTTTTAAGCAAAATTTATAACCTGGTCTACATAAACATACAGAAACCCGACAGAAATAATTTTTTTCTTTATAAACATTTCCATCTATCGTTTAATTTTTGTAGACCAACATTTTTTTATCTTAATATCTACAAATTTATTATTTACTTAAAAAAAATGTTAGCGAAAGGTCTTTTTTTTAATTAATTGTTTATGAACAATCCCAGTTTTTTTAATATAGAATAGTATTTAGGTAACCTTTGAATTATAAAAAAGTTTAAAGTTTTAAAACTTTTTTAACAACGCTAGTGTTAAATGCATAATTTTTTAACATAAAACTATAAAAAAAGAAGCTCAAGCTATTTTATTTACATAAAATATTAATCCAAAAATTTTACTCTACGTCGATTCATAAATAAGGAAAAAAATTATAATTTTCCTAATAACTCTCAAATCTTGGCTTACAACTATTTCAAATATTATTCATGGATTAAAAGTGTCTCAAATACCCAACTTTTAATTTTTGTACAGCCCAGAAATATTCTGAACATTAAATTAATTATAATTTTTATTTCATCACTAAATACAGCAAATTTTCAATCTGATTGCTACTTTGGTTTTTATTCTTTGTAGATATATTATGTATACAATGACGGTAAAAAAAATCCATAAAGTAATGTTCATTTGCATGAAACGAAGTCAAATATTTGTAAATTATTCGTATACACTCACACTGTTTACAATATCGATATCCATAATGATTAAACTAGTAATTTACATTGCGACTTGTTTGATAATTTTCAAAAAATCGTAGGAAGACGTAAACCGTGTACGTAAAGCTGTATTTTTACCTGGCATTGGGTATGAGATGTTTTAGTCTACTTATAACCCCAAAGGAAAACAGAAAATGTAAAAAAAGTATTCTTAATTTACGGCTGATACGAACGCCAGGCAATGTAAGATATGATGAATACGCTTATACGCATGTAGTGTACAAGTAGTATGAGGTCAGCGTATAGTCAGACATCACATACTTCGCGTGAAACACGTTAGCTACTTCCGAGTTGGCCGTAAAAAGATACGAATATTTTGAAATATTTTCATGTGATCTCGAGCATACGAGTGATTCCACTAGAAATTCTTGGTAAGGAGTTCCCCGTAATCATAAAAACAAATAATCCGTTTCAGGCACCTTTTTCAGACAAAGATTTTTATTGTCTATGAGCTTTCAACAATGTGAAAAATTGTAAACGTATACTTTTTTGAATCTTCTCAGGTTGTTTATTAAAACTTGTACTCATTGTATCATGGTACATAATATTATTGTAGTATCCCAAAAAATGTCACTGTGCTAAAAATTAAAAAAACAAATTGAGAACTTGTCACGAGAAATAATCTTAAAATTGAATTAAAAACCTGGAAAGAGACTTAAAAAATGTACTGTACACCTTATTAAGGTAACTTTTCAGACAAACTTTGACCACAAGAGGCGCTGCTATGCTTAAGTACAGATAAACTTTTACACTGTACACATGAGGAAATCCATAAAAAATATCCCGTTGTCGTCACGTTTTTTAATAAAAAAATTTTTTGAGACACATCCTTATGCTCATTTTACTTGCAATGCCATGTACTACAAGGAAAACATTTTAAACGCGAGTTTCAGTGAGGGTGACACCCTTATTACCACGATTTACATGTTAAAATTATGTCTACACATGCAATAGGGTGTCACCCTCCGCGTTCAAAATTTTTTCATCATATAGTACACGGCATTACGAGTAAAATGAGCCTAAGGATGTGCCTCTAACTATTTCTTAAACAAGTAAAAATTTCTCATTTCGGTCAACGCAGCAGGTGAAAAAAACTTTATGCACAACGTTCCAAGGTTTTCCTCTTTCCAATAACGTGTTTCTTGATTAAAAAAAAAAAAAACCAAATGACAGAAAGTAGAGGGGAAACGGGCTAACTAAGTACGGGGTTAAGTAAGTACATGATATGCGAGAACATATACTATAAATATCATGTAGGAAAAGAGAGTATTGAAGAGAGAGAGAGATAAAAGGGTAGACTAAAAACTAAAAAAGGAAAACGAAAAAAAAAAAATGGTAGAAAGAACCACTCACCCGTGTCGACGATGACATCGATGAGGTCCATGCTCTTGGCGAAGGCGTCCCTGAGATTGACGTGGTGAAACGAGACGATGCTTCCCTCACGCTTGGCCCTCTCCAGAGCCTCGCGCCTCTTGAGCGCCTTCTCCCGCCTCATCTGGTTCTTGTAGAACTCGGCGAAATTATTAACGATAATGGGAATGGGCAACGCGATTACCAGGACACCGCATATACAACACACACTACCGATGACCTTGCCCAACGCCGTGGTGGGGTAAATGTCGCCGTAGCCGACGGTGGTCATGGTAATGCCCGCCCACCAGAACGTCTCGGGAATGCTTATGAATTTGGTCCCCGGTTCCTCTTTTTCCGCGAAATAGGCCAGACTCGAGAATATGAGCACCCCCATGGCGAGAAAGAGCATCAGCAGACCGAGCTCCTTGTACGAGTTGCGCAACGTAAAGCCGAGGCTTTGCAAGCCCGTCGAGTGCCGCGCGAGTTTCAATATCCTCAGTATCCTCATTATACGGAATATCTGGACGACCCGACGGACGTCCTGGAACGAGTCGGTCGCGTTTTTGTTGGTCTCGACGAGGAATATCGAGACGTAGTACGGCAATATGGCGAGAAGATCGATGATGTTGAGACCGCCCTTGAAGAACTTCCACTTGTCGGGCGAGGCGCTGAAGCGCAGCACGTACTCGAGCGTGAACCAGGTTATGCAGATCGCCTCGACTATCGCCAGTTGGGGATTGTCCTGCAAGGCGCCGTCCTTGTCGTACACTTGCATGCTCGGTATCGTGTTCAGGGTCAGGGCGATCGTCGACATTACGATAAACAAGATCGATATCACAGCTATCACCTGTAATTTTGAGTCGGAATTTCACGCCCTCGCCTTTTTTTCATTATTTTTTTATATTATTTTTTTATTTCTCGTTTTATTCCTCCATTGCTCGCTTATGCCTCTGCAGAAGTAGATAGTAGCAGCTAGTGGGTAGTAGTAGCAGCAGCGCAACGCAGCTTGGTAATAATAATAATAATAATAATAGATATATTTGCATGTCAGCGACAACAGCAGTAACAGCAGCGAAAGAGTATGTGTAAAGATACAAACAGAGAGAAGGAAAGTCAAACAGCGCGTGTACGACACACACGATCGTCATAATATGACCACACACAACGACAGCAACAACACAACGGACCCAAAAACACTCACACGTATTGCATACGGCAAAGGCATTCACGCGTGGCCCTACATGTGCCGGCTGCTGAACTTGCGCACGTATGGACACTTGTACACGTATATATATATTATATGATATTAGTAAAGGAGCGACCTTCGTGCCCCGAGGCTATTTAACCCCCCCCCCCCAATCAAGATGCCCAATCCTTCGTCGCCCTCGACCCCCTTGCTACGGACAGAAGGAGCCCAGCTGAGCGAGAGATCCTCTGATTTGGACTTTTACACGCTCCCTCACTCCTCCGGTAATTAGCGGGTCAAGTCCTCGGGCCACTTTGCGCTTTTTTTTCTTACGTCGTTCGTTTTCTTTAACTTGCTTGCAGAAGTAAGTATATCTACACCTGGAGGGAGACGTTATGGCAGATCTTTATTGACAAGCGATAAGTAGATACAGGCGCTGAGGCAGGTGAGAGATAGTTTAAAAGAGTATGTGGCACAGGAAGAAAAAGGGGAAGATAAATTTTAAATGGGATATAAAACGTGTACGCTGAAGGTGAAATCATTGAAAGCTCGTTTTCATTAGCGGGTGACTTTAGTGACTTTATTCGATTTGCGAGTATGAATAATTCAGCGCGTCGATTCGATAAGTTTCCGCATCGATACGAAGCTCATTTATGGTCGATTTACAAAATAGGTCACGGTCCGCCCCATCCGCCCCAAATTTATTCCGAACAACAGTTTATTTCTATTATTAAAAAAAAGGGTCCGACTACACCGAAAATTGGTTCGTCAAGATGCCCGATAGACTAGTTTTACGAGCGTCTCGATTTGCAATTCAAAAATTCCGCTCTCTCGCGCACACTTGCGTTATACAGTGCTAGAGTTGCTTTACTGCCGCTATTAAAATATCATGCCGCGAACAGCTCCTTTCCGAAAACGTCGGATCCGCCAAAAAAACATCCAGCTCCGTAAGCGCCACTATCCTACTTATCGCTCGTTTTTCAACCAAAGTTATCTCGGTTCCATCGATGGTATAAGCAATCGTGTCGGGAAGACATGGTATCCAGCTGTGCAATGAAGTGCCCTCGAGAATTTGCGATGCTCGGGTACACGTGTGGCGTTTTTCCCTTCGACTCCTGCCACTTGAGCGAACCCATTTCTTTGCTGGTGTCCGCACGTGGATCCGGGATACACAGCTGCTTGAGTTTTTCTTTTCTTCCACCAGGTAAATTGAAATTTTGAGCTCCCCAAGACACTTTTACGTGACAGCCAGTGCACGTTGTCTTCCGAGGGAGTCATATTAAGACTTTGGGTTGAACAACAATTCAGCTTTGCTGTCTTAATAACCCTGTGGATATATTCGAGAACGAACGCCATAAGCTTTTCACAATTGAAAGAGTTTTTTTTCCTCCCGAGGCGAACTTTATTTTCTCCTGTACATTGCTTGAGGAGTATACGAGAAAAGTCGTGGGTGTTTATTCGAAAATTAAATAACCAATTTTGCGTTTATTCTACAAAACATTACTGTTTTCAAACATCAGAATGACAAGGTATTTTTGTAATTTTCTGATGAAAACCAGAATCCTGAAGAATTTTTGTTCTTCGAAAACAACCTTAAATAAGCTCTGCTCTTCTTATTCCACTTTCTCGAATTTCCTCAAATGCTTGTGTACCTTACAAAATACTCCATACAGCTTTTTTCTTTTAAGAAGCTCGTCCAACCGTAGATCGACCCGCTTTCCTCTCCGTTTGACATATCGTAAGGAGAAACAACGTCGCGACCCAAATATTTACCCAACCCCATAAACTCCACGAAAATCCAATATCCCGTCGCTTGCTCGATATTTAAAATACACATAACACAGCACACATCGAGAAAAGCACAAAAGTGAGACACGACAATTACGATAAATAAGAAAGTGACAAATAAATCAAACGCATAAATAATTATTCATGTATATATATATATATATATATACACACACACAACTATAATAATCACGATTCGCCATATACGTAAACGCACAAGTATATATGTATATTGTATACACGAAGCACATCGCAAATCAACATCGATATTTCGACGGCGTATAGGTAAACGAACATCTTACTTTCGCTTTCGACAGCAAGCCTTACATCAAAACATTGTACACGAAACATACATCAGCAGTAGTAAAAGTAGCAGCAGCAGCACGACCACCACATTTGCACATCGAGATAGAATACATACAATTTGCACAACCGTGACTAGAAAGAAAAAAATCCACGCACACCAAAGTCATCAAGAAACATACACAGGGGCCCTCCTCAAGACCCCGTTGCCCGCGGTGCGCGTAGCGCGCCCGTGTGTGCGTCCGTCCCGATTAATCTAACAACAACGCATATATATGTATTTTTTTCATATTGATATCATCCATTCATATTTATCAAATGGATCCTAAAATACAACAGCTGAGAAAATATTTTTGAGATGCCCTTGTCAGGTCACTTTTTCGAGTAAATAAACAAAAAAAAAAAGATCTTATGACACATCCTATGAAAAATGTTGGTGTACACGCGTACACGAATCGACCTTGCGTCTACAACGCCAATGTTTATACACACATACGCGCGCGGGTCAACCGGACATCACCACCAGTTACTCCCCCTTCTTCAGCGACGAGGCAAATATACCCACTGATCGATATGAGCAGTCGCCGGAGCAATACCCGCGGCTTTCTGCGCGTGTGTTGTTGTGTGCTCTTTTTACCCGCTCCGTGGATACACCCTCTTTTTATGTACGTGCGTATGGGTGAGTGTCTTTTTTTACGCTGAAACGCTTAGCGCATCTAGTTCCCGGAAAGTGACACCGTTGCGGTAGGTACATACTACCGTTTACAGAGAGAAATAGACAGGTCGAGCTACCACTGGGTTTCTGCGTGTTACGTGCTTGAAGAACGTGTATTTGAATTACGAAAAAACACAATATGTAAAATATAATTTCAAGGCGTTTCGACTTGTTGCATCATACGTGGGTTATACTACTGGAAAAAGGCATGTAGTCTGCTATAATTTTAAGGCGTTCTAACTTGTCGGAACGTACGGAGCTCACACTACTTAAAGGTGTCAAATCGACTCCTATAATAATTTCAAAGCATTTTGACTTGTCTGACCATACGTAGGCTATACTACTGGAAAAAGGCGCGTAGTCTGCTATAATTTCGAAGCGTTCTGACTTATCGGACCATACGGAGGTCACACTACTTAAAGGTGTCAAGTCGGCTCCTATAATAATTTCAAAGCATGTCGACTTGTCGGATCGTACGTGGGTTATACTACTGAAAAAAGGCACGCACTTTGCTATAATTTTAAGGCGTTCTAACTTGTCGGAACATACGGAGCTCACACTACTTAAAGGTGTCAAGTCGGCTCCTATAATAATTTCAAAGCATGTCGACTTGTCGGATCGTACGTGGGTTATACTACTGAAAAAAGGCACGCACTTTGCTATAATTTTAAGGCGTTCTAACTTGTCGGAACATACGGAGCTCACACTACTTAAAGGTGTCAAGTCGGCTCCTATAATAATTTCAAAGCATGTCGACTTGTCGGATCGTACGTGGGTTATACTACTGAAAAAAGGCACGCACTTTGCTATAATTTTAAGGCGTTCTAACTTGTCGGAACATACGGAGCTCACACTACTTAAAGGTGTCAAGTCGGCTCCTATAATAATTTCAAAGCATGTCGACTTGTCGGATCGTACGTGGGTTATACTACTGAAAAAAGGCACGCACTTTGCTATAATTTTAAGGCGTTCTAACTTGTCGGAACATACGGAGCTCACACTACTTAAAGGTGTCAAGTCGGCTCCTATAATAATTTCAAAGCATGTCGACTTGTCGGATCGTACGTGGGTTATACTACTGGAAAAAGGCGCTTAGTCTGCTATAGTTTGGATACGTTTCGACTTGTCGGACCATACGTAAATTATACTACTGTGAGGTGTCACGATGGCTTCTATAATAATTTCAAAGCATTTCAGCTTGCTTGACCATACGTAGGTCGTACTACTCGAAAAAGGCGCGTAGTCTGCTATAATTTCGAAGCGTTTCGACTTGTCAGACCATACGTAAATTATACTACTGTAGGTGTCACGGTGGCTTCTATAATAATTTCAAAGCATTTCGACTCGTCTGACCATACGTAGGCTATACTACTGGAAAAAGGCGCGTAATCTGCTATAATTTCGAAGCATTTTGACTTGTCAGACCATGCGTAGGTTATACTACTGTAGGTGTCACGGTCGATCCTATAATAATTTCAAAGCATTTTGGCTTGTCTGACCATATGTAGGCTATACTACTGGAAAAAGGCGTGTAGTTTGCTATAAATTCCAAGTGTTTCGACTTATCAGACCATACTTAGATTATACTACTACGAGGTGTCACGTTGGCTCCTATACAAGAATTTCAAAGTTTTGTCGGTCCATACGAATGTTACACTACTCCAAAGTACCGCTACGGCTCCTATTCAAATGCAACACAATGGTTTTACTAATTGTTGAAAAAGCGTTCGTTTCAGAGTTTTTCAGTGCCACCGTGAGATTTGAAAAAGACACGGCTATCGATTGAATTGTCCCTTAGAGCGATTCAGTTGACTTACCCTTCCCGTGGATAATTAATAAAGCACAAATAAATACA